TGATACGGGAATTTCACTAGATAGGAAAATAGAAGGCTGATGTTAGCTGTAGCTCCAGGGTGTGGGTCATCTGGTGTTTATGATTCCCACTTCATGCAAGGGAAATCTTGTGACCAGGGGCATCCTCCCAAACCCCATGTCTACCTAACTGCTTTTGCTAATGGAATTCTTCAGCTGGGATAGAACTCAGTACTTCACAAATGCTAGGCAAGTGCTCTACCACAGAGCTACAGCCAACCCAGAATTTTTGAAATTTAAAAATATAACAGAGGGCTAGGCATGGTAGCACATACCTATAATCCTAGCTACTGGGAGGCAGAGACAGGAAGGGTCATAGTTAAGAGGCCAGCCCAGCCAAAAGTTAGTGAGCCTATCTCAAAGACACACTAAAAGCAAAATGACTGCACTTGTGGATCAAATGATTGATAAGAAACATCATCATGAAACCGCAGAACATCAGGGCTAAAAGTTCTCTAAAGATACTAAAGGCAGGAAGAAGTAAGAGGAGGAACTTATTAAAAACAAAGGGAATAAGGGACGCATCAGACTACCAGAGCCAAAAAGTGATGGTACATACCTTTGAAACTGAGTGAAAATATGTTTTCACCTAAAATTATATTCCTAGCCAAACTACATATAATGTTTAAAAGTAAAGACATTTTCAGGTGTGCAAGTACTCCAAAACGATCCCTAGTTGCACTCATCCACAGAAATTACAGAATGTGCTTCAGCAAGGTGAGGGAAAGACAGAGGATCCAGAAAATGGAATTCAAGACAGAAGAATGGTGTAAGAAGTTTCGGGACAATATTTACATATCAAGCCTAGAAAGTAAACAGAGTGCACTGGAGAAGAGATGGAAGACTCTAGTTTGAAAAATGAAGTGACAGATCGCTCAATGTACAAGAGCACAGAAAACTTTTGGGACCTCTTTTGGGGGAAAAAAATAGCAGCAAGAAACAGAAAATTAAGCAAATGAAAAAACTGACCATCTTATTAACTACTTGCAAAACAACACTAGAAAGCAAAAGAAATCACAGAACACTATTTGGCCCTGAAGGAACAACACTGCATAAGAACAATGTTAATAATATTTATTTAGGAAAAAAAATACATACATACACAACACACACACACATATATAATGTATGTACGTACATACATACACATAATGTAGCTGTAGCAGTGTCAGCCCCTTTAAGAACTGTCCTGATACCTGTAATCCTAGCTACTTGGGAGGCTGGGACCTGGAGGACCACAGTTCAAGATCAGCCTGAGCAAACAGTTCTCAAGACCCCATCTCCAAAATAACCAGAACAAAATGGATTAGAGGTATGGCCAAAGAGGGAAAGTGACTGTTTTGCAAGCTTGAAGTCCTGAGTTCAAACCCCAGTCCCACAAAAAAAAAAAGAAAGAAAATTGTTGACTTCCCCTCCCATTCCCAGTTCAAAATTCTAAAGAAAAGCTGTACCTAAATAACTTAAGAGGTTTACTGCTAAATAATCTTTCTTTAGGCTTACAGAATCCAGAAGCTGGTGACCTTCAGATAATAACAGAATATGTAACATCCCTCCTTATTCAACTCTTTTACCCCAGCTAACACAAACTATGTAAATGCTGGGAGGTTTAACTTGCAGAAAAGAAATGTTTGTCAGAAGAATCACAGGAACTAGCCTCAGGAGGTCAAGGTCAACTGCCATGTTCAAACTGAAGAAAATAAAAGGGAATGCACACCCCAGTTTCCTTCCCACCAACTCTTATCTCTAAGTATTGCCTGTGGAGCAGTAAGCAGATGGACTTGGGTCAAGTAACTAGGCTACACTGGAAAGACCACTGGAGTAGGGAAAGAAAAGAACTAAATCCTTATCTACTATGTCCCCAAGTTTATAGGTATAAGAGAAAAGAATATGTTACTACAAAATATGATTGTGGGAGACTGGAATATGTCACCCTAAAACATGCCTTTGGGGGCCTAAGGATTATTTAAAAAAAATAGCAGATACTGGAGACAATCTGAAAACAGACTAGAAGTTACCTTTTATAAGGGCAATTTATGTCTATGAAGGAAATCTCCATCAGAGTGTCTCCCTCTATACCAGGAAGAAAAAAGACCCAATTATAAGACTCATCAAGAAAACACAGACATCTGTCTGCAGTACAAAACTTATCTTTATTTACTACATTTTCCTGCTCACCATCCCTTAACTCAATTCCCATACACCCTTCTTTCTTTGATTTAGCTAAAGATGATATTTAAGAATGAATTTTAAGCCACCCCTTTTGAGATTTTCTTATTCTGCTGGGTATCTTCATTGATATATGCAATACACATGTGAATAAATTTGTTTGTTCTTCTCTCAGCAACCTACCTTTCGTTACAGAGGCCCCAGACCTCACAAGAGTAGAGGGAAAATTATTTCGTCCTCCCTTACATAATTAAAGTCTACTGTGCAATTAAAAAAATAGTATAAGCAGATAATTTTGAAATAATCAGTTAAGTCCAAGATGAAAACAATTAGTAAGAGTTTCCTAGGGGTACAGGTAGTATGTGAAGTAAATACAGAATAGGGGCCTCAAACCACTATTGTTTGAAATTAGCCCTTCTGTACTACTAGATTTTTAATCTACATGAACATTACTATGGAATGATTAAAATTTGATGTAAATGCAAACAAACCCCTCAGCTAGCCAAAGGAAGCATGTCAACAGCCCAGCCAATTCTAATTCTCTGAAAATGGAAAAGACCACTGGTCTGGAACTCTGACACCTAAGGTATCTAGCTTTGGTACTGCTAGTTTATGGGCTGATGTGCCACATGAAGCTCCAATTTTCTCAACAGCGAAAGTAGATTATAAACTCTCTGGTGTTCGTGAGCTACAAAATAAATGGATGACATTGTTAAATAAAAATAGCAGGAGGCCTTTGTTGTTGACTAGGCTCCTGCACTGGGCTCCAGGAGACCAAGGGAGTCACCCATTCTAAAGTTCTAGCTCATCAAATCAACACTATGTTGTTACCTGACCTTCTAAGAACTCAAGGAGGAAGAATAACTGTCAATTTTTCCTTACACACACACACACACACACACACAAAAAACAAGGTAACCTGAAGTAATCAGTTTTATTCCATTCTTCTGCCTGCTGTTCCCATCTTACAAGGCAGGTAACTTTGAAAGGTCCTTTTTGTTCCTGGTTACTGTTTCCTCAAGTCTTTAAACCAAACTTCTAGTTTATCAGAACACTATTTTAATGGGATTATGACTGATCAATTTAGAATCAAAACCAAAACCAATACTAAACTAAGTTGCAGTTATTTTGCCCTTTGACAGTATCAACTACCACCTGGTACCCTACATTTGAAGGTTCAGAGAGCTAGACAGGGCCAGGCTAGGGGAAAAAAATCTTTGAATATCTAAGTTGCATAGGAGACGAAGACTTTCACCAAGTGGATTGAGACACCAGAACTAAACCTTCATGTAGATGCTAGAAATGCAAAACCTGTATTCAGTTGATAAGTAGCAGTTAGAAATGAGTATGGAGACATGCAAAAGGAATCTAAAATAGAAAATCCTTGGTTCGGTGCATATGTGTTGACAGCCCACAAAGATCAGTGAGATGTCTTTGAGTCCACATAAGGATTAAAGAAAGGTTTTGTGTGACAGTGGTGCCTGGAACAATAAACTTGACAAAACAAAGACCCAAGTCGATAAACCATACCTTAGGGAGTCATTTGTACATTTTAATTCTGTAAATCTCCCCTAGCCTTATGACACTGTAATAAAAAAAAATACATGTGTCTTAATCATGAACTCAGCCCTGTAGGCTGAACCTGGGGCTAAGAACTTCTCATGGACAATCTCAATTAATACTCAGACCCTTACAGTCTATTTAAAGTGTGTTCTTTTCTTAATAAATTTTGTTTTGCTATCCCTCTATTTCTGTGTCATGCCTGAATTCTTCTAATGCTGTAGCACTGTAACCACTGCCCTGCCAGGTGAAGTCATTTAGCTAAAAAAAGCAGGCCAATCCCCAACAAGAAAAGGCATTTTGCATCAAAGGTCCCACTAGATCCAAGGAACTTTCCTTAATTACCTACCTAGGATGGTAACTAAAAGTGCCTGATAAAGAGATTGCTGAATGAGTGAACATTTAGAAAAATTTTACTTACACGACTAAATAGAGGATCATATACAAAAGTGAAAGTAATACTAATCTAACTTCCCTCCTGATGTTTGTGCTGGAGTCAGGACAGACCCCCAGTTGAACTGCAAGAGATTTTAATGCCTCACCCCAAAATATGCCACCCCACATAATGACTACTCTGAGCCAAAAGAAACTGAGTTCCAGCCAACACAGAGCACTGTCTTCGGAAGGGTTACTCTAAAGTAAGGTGTAAGACCCCTCCCTTTTCTACAGAGAACTTTGTACTAGGAAGGGGGTCACCATATGGAGGCAGCTGCCTGCAGTCCCCACGGGGGAGCTCGTTTTCAACCGGCCCCTCCCTCCCACGTGTCCCTCCGTCCCCCAGAAGCCACAGCCCCACGCCTGGTCCTGAGTCGCATGAGTTAAAGTGGCTTTTTTCTTCTCGGTCTGTCTTACGTCCACCTCGGGCTTCCTCCTATGTCAATTCAATCCGTGGCACTGTCCGTCCCCTGCGCTGGCTCCCCAAGTCGTGGAGACCCCGCGCTCCCGGACCGGGCCGGCGCCTCCTGTCGCCCGGAACCGAGGCCTGAGGCCCTGCTCACCCAGATTCCGGACCCGGCGACAGCGCCCGGGCCGCAGAGATCAAGGCCGGCGCCGCCGTCCGCTGCCCCCCCGGGGTCCCCGAGCGACCCCGACCGCGAGACCCGGGCTCTCCGCCGACGGCCTCGGCTCCCCCAGCGGCCAAAGCCAGAGCCGCGCCGCCGTCCCCGCGCCGAGCCTGGCCACCCGCGCCCCGCCGTCCTCGGGGATCCGAGGCCCGAGGCCCAGCCCGCGACGCCGCCCGCGCCCCGCGGACTCACAAGGACTCCAGGTGCTGGAGCTGCTGCAGCTGCTGCGCGTCGTGCCGCCGCCGCCTCTGCTCTCGGCGCCGCCGCCGCTCCTGCTCCGCCGACTCCCGCGGCCGCCGCGCGCCCCCCACCCCCGCGTCGTCGCGCTCCGGCCTGGACGACATCGCGGCACCGCGGCCGCCCGGACGGGGGCCGGTGTCCCAACCGAGGCCGCCCGGCCCCCGCCTTCCCGCGGCGGGCCCCCAAGCCCAAGTGTGGAGCCAAGCTGCCCGCAGTCAGGCCCGCGGGCGCCCCCTGGCGGCGTCGGGAGCGAGGCGGGGGCGAGGCGGGGGCGGAGCCTGCGATGACTTCCTGGTGCGCGGGGCCTTAAGCCACGCCCCCTCTGAGACCTGCTGCCCCTTGGTGGGCCCCAGCCTTGAGCAAATCACGTGTATATCATACTAGTGAGTAGACAGAACTGCTTGTTACAGGTTAGAAGGATTCATCCGTATTTGGAAGAAGGCAAGTTTAGCTGTATAAATGCTCCAGCATTCCACAGCACCTGGTTCAGGGGAAAAGCATGGACCATGCCTGTTGTACTTACCAAGGTTTGGGTGCTGAAAATGAGTCAAGTCCTTAATAACCATTGGTGTAAGTGGGGGTTGTGGTGACACAAAATGTAAATCCTAACTACAGACACCCCAACATCTCGGTTCAAGATTAACCTGGGGCAAGAAGTTAGTGAGACCACTGTCTCAACTAATAAACTTGGAAGGGTGGTGCCTCTTGTGATCCCAGCTTTAGGGGAGGCCATGGAGGATGAAGACAAAAAAACCAAGACCCTATCTGAAAAATAATATAGTAAAAAAGGGCTGGGGCGTGGCTTAAGTGGTAGAATGCTTGCCTAGCAAGTGTAAGGCTCTGAGTTCAAATTCCAGAACTGCCGGGGAGGGGGGGAGGGGGGGGGATTTTATTTTTTAATTTGATTACTTGTGGTACTGGGGATGGAACCCAGGGCATCACACATGCTAGGTAAGGGCTCTAGCCCTGAACTATATCCTCAGCCCCAGAATTCATTTAATCTTAAAAAACCTAACTGTTAATCATATCCTTAGTTTATGAATAAGGAGCCCCGGACAGTTAGTTACAAGCCCGGGTATGCAGAACTATTAAATCCTGGAGGCGGGGCTGGGAAGCTAGGAGGTTTAACTAGGATACATTTTGAAAAGGTATCTGATTTGTGGAGCTGTGATAGTTGTTGAACTGTGATGTGAAATAATCCACAAAGGTAATAAAAATAAAAGCACAGAAACATAATTGCCTTCAATGTGGTATTCAACGTGGTTAATATCTAAAATAACAAGAGAAGCTCTTTCTTTCTTTCTCCTTTTTTTTTGGCAGTACTGGGGATTAAATGCAGGAACTCCTGCTAGTGCTCTACCACCTGAGGCATACACACACTTCCAGTCCTTTTGCTGTTGATTTCGCTTTTCAGATAGTATCACTCCCTAACTTTGCCTAGGCCAGCCTTGAACCAAGATCCTCCTACTCTGCCTCCCCAGGAGCTTGTATTACAGATGTTGACACCACACCCTGCCCTGCTTTTTCTTTGCTTCTAGCCTTAAAGGAATTTTTTTGGCGGGGGTGGAGAGGGAGGCTCACTATGTGGAATGCATTTCTGGATTTCTGTCCGTGTAATTTGTTCTTGGCCATTGTCTTGCTATCTGTGTGTAGCTGCTCAAGCTCCAGGTGATACTGGTAGTAAGTTTTTAAATCAGAAAGTGTGATGCCTCAGGCTTTCTTTTTTTTCAAGATTGTTTTGGTTACTTGGGGTCCCTTGAGATTTCATATAAATTTCAGGATGAGCTTTCCTGTTTCTGCAAAAAGAAAAAATGTCATTGGAATTTTGATAGGAGTTGCATTGGATCTGTGGATGCTTTGGGTAAATGCTGCCATCTTAACAATATTAAACCTTCCAATCCATGAGTGAAGGACGTGTCTCCATTTATGTCTTCTTTAGTTTCAGGAATATTTTATAATTTTCATTGGTATAAGTCTTCTTAAGGTTATTCCTAAGTGTTTCATTCATTCTGATACTATTATAATTGTTTTTGTAATTTCCTTTTCAGATTGTTCACTGTAAGAGTATATAAACACAACTGCCTTTAGTGTATTACTTTTGTATTCCTCCAAGTTTTCTAAGTATTTTCTTCCTTTGTGGGAGAGGGGTACTGGGGTTTGAACTCAACTCAGGGCCTCCTACTTGCTAGACAGGAGCTCTACCACTCATACTTTTGCCCTGGGCAGGCCTCAGACTTTAATCCTCCTACCTACACCTTCCTAGTAGCTGGAATCACAGATGTGTACCACTGTATTCAACTTATTGGTTGAGATGAGGTCTTACTAACTTTTTCCCCTGGTTAGCATGAGATCTCAGCCTCTCGAGCAGGTGGGATTGCACATGTAAGCCACTGCACCTGGTCCTGTAAATACCTTCTAGCTTCCACTTTGATTCATTGGTTGGTTGTTTAACAGAGTGTTGTTTAAAGGACTGGGAATATAACTTAGTGGTAGAGTGTGCAAGACCCTGGTTTCAATCCCCAACACCACCAAAAAAAGAAGGAAAAAAAGTGTGCTGCTTAGTTTACATAAATTTGTGAATTTTTCAGTTTTACTTGTGTTATTGATTTCTTTTTTAAAATGTTTTATTATTCATTTATTCACATGTACGTACATTATTTGAGTCATTTCTCCCCCCCCTCCCCGCCTCCCTTCCCCCTTTTTCCACTCCCCCCCTCGCTTCCAGGCAGAACCTCTTCTCTAATTTTGAAGAGAAGACATAAGCATAATAAGGAAGACAAAGCGTTTTTGCTAGTTGAGATAAGGATAGCTATACAGAGAGATTCCTAGCATTGCTTCCATGTGCAAATGTGTTATAACCCAAGTTGATTCATCTCTAACTGATCTTTACACTGGTTCCTGATCCTCGTCTCCTGTTGACCTCTGTCACTTTAAAATTTCTGTATTGGCTCCTCTGGAGTGGGGATATCAAATACTTTCATGTTTTGGATTTTCTACCTATTCCCATATCTCCCGTATGTGCTCTCCCCTTGTCATGTGACCCAAGCCCAACCACATTGCTGCATTTGCCCTAGATCTAATGTCCACATATGAGGGAGAACATATGATTTTTGGTCTTCTGAGCCTGGCTAACCTCACTCAGAATGATGTTCTCCAGTTCCATCCATTTACTTGCGAATGGTAAGAATTCATTCTTCTTCATGGCTGAGTAAAATTCCATTGTGTATAAATACCACATTTTCTTGATCCATTCATCAGTAGTGGGGATCTTGGTTGTTTCCATAACTTGGCTATTGTGAATAGTTATTGATTTCTAATTTATAAATATCTACACCATTATGGTAGGTGAAGAGACTTTGCCTGGCATTTATCTTCTTAAGTCTATTGAGACTTAATTTATGACCTAATCTGTGATGGAAAATGTCCCACATGCACTTGAGGTTAACGTCTGTGCTGTTGTTGAGTGGAGCGTTCTAGTTGGCTGTTGAATTATTTAGATCCTCTATTTCTCTATTTGCTGCATAGTTGTTCAATCCATTATTGACAGTGTTGCAGGAATCTCAAGCTGAGATACGGGACACTGAGGCAGTTTAGCAGGAAACAACGTTTTATTGTGCAGACTTACATCCAAAGGCTGAGCCCCATAAACCAAGGGGTCTCACCTTATATACCCTTGCAAGCAGGTTACAGAAACAAAAAGCAAAGCTCAACCCGCATACGGCTGCATGTGACTTCATTGGCTATTTCATTCTCCCAGTGCTAGGTGACCTTCATGTTTCAGTTCTTTAAGTTTTATCTCTCTGCTTTGCCGTCTCTTCCCTCTGCCTCACTATCAGAACACAGCCTGCCTGTTTCTTTTCTGGCCCTCCTCCCTGCTACATCATTCCTCCCTTTGATGCTCAGATCCACCTAGGGTCAAAAAGCATCATCTTGATCTAGAGGTTTATATTTTTATAGTATCATTATATGCATGGCCATTTTCCTTTTTATAGTGGTCTCCATATGGTCTGATAGACCGCAGTACGAGGAGGACCAGGCAGGGTAATATTAAATATACTTCCAAGATAAGACCCATTGCACCACTTTTCATGATAAATGTAGTCTGTATTGTTTTCTTTACTTTGGGACTTTTAGTATCATTTATCAGTAACCTCATTAATCTGGGAGTATATGAGCCGATTTAACATCTGACCTGTTGGTGAGTGCATGATACAAAGTATGGCTGTGCAGAGGTCCCAACAATGGCTCTCTTACAACATTAGTACATGGGAAAAACCTTGTAAGGGCCAACCCAAAAGATGAGTCCAATTGTATAGAGGAGAGCAGGGGCGTGTCCCATGTTTGAGCGTCCTCCATGTGTAGACTAGTCAGCTTTTAGAGTGACTAGAGCAGGGCTGTCATCCCATTGTTTGTGGTCCCTTGTCTCCTGGGAAGTGGAGTCCTGCGAGGAAGAGCGCATATGTTCCGAACAGTGATCTTGGATGGTGAGGCTGAGTCAGGGATGCACTCCCACTCAGGAGAGGCTGGCTTTATTTGGCTGTGGCGGATCCAGGGAGCAATTTTTGTTACTTTAACTGTAGTGGAGATAGACAAGACAACAACAAAAAGGCCCCTCTAATGGGGTTTTAATGGTTGGACATTTTATTCGTTTATCCAGACAGTATCTTTTGGTTTTTTTTTTCTTTATATAAGTAAATTTGTCTCAACCCTCCTGTCAGTGCAGCAGTATTCCCTGTGCTCCTGCTTTTCTGTGTTTTTGTTGTTTTGATAAATTTGTGGATTAACCTGTAGCACCAAAAATTTTTGACAGTTATCTTGACAAAACAAAAAACATTTTTAAGACAGTTTTTGTAAATGTTATTAAGAACAATATTTTAAAGATAGTCTTGTTATAAGCTAAGAGAATTAAATTTTAGTTTAACATCAGTACATTAAATTTTGACCTTACAAAACCTTTAATGTAACTGGATTTTAATCAACTCAATCACTTACATAAGCATTTATAAGCTCCATCTTTTTATGACAACTTGCTCTGTAGCTTTATGATCACTTATTTTGTATCCCCTGGGGGAGCTTGTCTTTGTCTTTATCCTTTTTTTTATTTAAAAGTATAACCTTTTATTTTTAAAAACCATATCCTTAACTTGTTGAAAGTAACTCATAAAACCTTTTAACATAGAACCTTATGTTTGTATGGAAAAAAAACAGAAAAAAAGCAACCTTA